AAAAAAAAGTTTCAATGTATATCAAGAAATTAATCCATCAATAAACCAACCAATACAAAGGATAACAACAAAAACCAACAACAATAACATTTACCACTTTGTTCTTTGTGAACAGCCAGTCTTGCCTTGGGAGAGACAGAAAAAAAGAAAAGCCCCAAGAGTTCGGGAAGGTGATCTTCCTTTGGATTTTATTCCTATTTTGCCTGTACACAAACAGTATATTCATCTTTAAATAGAATCCACAGTATATTCGAGAACAATTTGGCTTGAAATGGCACCCTGTCTGGGTGTAGTAGTAAGAACCAGAGCCTCTCTGTCCATGTCCATGAAACATTTATGGGGAAAATGAATAGGATTTTCCAGGCAGTCTCCCTCCACATCCTCCATCAGCTCCCTCATTTATTATAAGAGGCATCATTGATAGTCTCTGCCCCATCCATCTTACATAATCGCAAAGAGAACAAAGTGAGTCTAAATGTACCAGGCAACACAAACACGCGCGTAGTCACTCCTTTAGTCCCTCTGTTCAAAGGTGGAGGGGGCAGGGATTGCTAAAGTTGGACACTTGTATTCAAGGAAAAGTGGCGTTAGAACGAATCAAATCAACCTGGGCCCAGTTTAAACTGACCTGTAAGCAAAGAGCCATCCATGGTCCCTTATTCTTTCCCTGGGTTACCGCTGCCCCTCCTAGAAACGGAGTCTTCCATAACAGATTCCGTAGAGATTCCAGGGCCACATATCTGAGTATCTGCCTGATACCAACCAGGTACCAGCTCCTTGTCTCACATGTGATCTGAAAGAAGGTGTTTGGCTGATGTGTGGGAAAACCATGTTCTTGCTCAGGGGCTCTCATCCTGAACCATATCAACATTGTTATTGGCTTTTAGTAGCTGCCTTGGCAACAAGGCTTTGCAATCTTACCTCCCGAGGACCACAGAACAAAAATCGACATCTTTGTTAGGAATGTGGGCATGGGGAAAAGTCCAAGTTCAGAGGTAAACTCCTCCTGATCAACCCCACAGAAGTAAAGATGGGGGGAATCGCCTCTCCCATGGTGACAAGGCTGCTTCATACCGTGTTCTGTGTACACCAGGGCATCCCCTCCACAGAAGAAGCCCACTGAGAAATGAAGCTCGCTTGTGGGAGTTGTTTGAAGTCCCCAGTGCACCTTCTGTCTTTTTTGTAAATGTGGGACGCATGGCTGCTCTGGTTGAGGAAGCTCTGCTACTTTACCCTTGTTCGCCACAGGAGCGCTTCTCCGTGCTCCCTGGCTTAGCTTGGTGAAGACCACATATCTGCTATGGAATGTGCTGCTCATCTGGTTATGATAGTCTGCGGTTTAAATTCCTCCTCCTTTGGTTTATAAATATTGAAATCTCAAACAAAAGAGAGAACCAAAGTGCT